CCCCTAATTGCTCCCCGGGCAAAAATGTGAAAAAGCCACGGGTTTAAAGTGTAATGTAAGTCGCTTTGGATAAAAGCGTCTGCTAAATGACCTGTAATGTAATGTCGCTGGATGCAACCACACCCCCTTTTTCCTCGCAAGGTTTGCATGAAGGTCCGGACTAGGGCTCTTTGAGCCAGAACCGCCGGGTACCTAAATACCCCGTTTCCGAACATTAGTGTGACTATCTCTTTTATCTCTAGGTCCGGACCGCTTCTGTTTCTCTCGTCTATAGTACGGATTGCCGTATCCAAGACCGAGGTTAAGTATGCTGTCTGTCTAGTGGATTGGTCCCCGTCGGGGGGTCTATCCTCTGGGTCTTAGCAGACCATTACTAAACCGACCACGTTTGACCCTTCATCGTCTAGTTCTATAAAGTCTACACGGCCGTCCCTAAACGGGAGGTTATTTCCCCCATGGTGCCATGTGTAATGGCGTTTTACCGGGTCGGGTAAAACGCCTGTTTGGGGATCTTGACCATCGGAAACCCGAGGCCATGGTCCTGCTAGAATCATCTGAGTCTCTGTCACGGCTCATTTTTGATGGGGCTTTAAAACGTTTTTAAAGCGATAAGAAAAGATGTAAAAGCCGTGGTTTGGTGGTAGCGTTGCCGGGGTACCGGTCCGTCAGTGGAGAGGGAGCTACCCTCAAGGTCGACGTCCGGGCTGACCGGGTGGTAGCACGATAGAGTGATAAGAAACAGTTTGTTACTTCAGCAGGTTGATCCGACCTATTTTAGGGATTCTCCAAACCCCTTTTTACTGCCGCAACGTTTATTAGCTTTTTGTGAAACTTATCTCACTACGTCGTGTGTCGGCTCTGGTATAGCACGGGTTTTAGCGGTGCTTGCTATCAGACGTCTCTTTCACTAGTGGTGAGACACTGAATCAGAGCCCCACGTTGGGCGCCATGTCGCGTGTACGTTTAGTTGTTTCAGTGAGGAAGACAACTTCCTTAAGAGTAGGGCTTACAGCTACAAAGGCGAGTCATAATATGCCTATTTCTTAAGTCGTGTGTTTTTATGTTTTTGCCAGCAGCGGAACTACTTTATAGTCACTGTGTAACTTATCGTTGTTAGCGTTAAGATGAGCTCTAATATCGATTATATTCCTTAGGTAAGATAACTCGTATTTGTTCGGTACACACAGTATTGCTTATCTTCCCCCCAATATCTGACGCGGATGATGGTGAAGCAGGCTAGTTAAGACAATACCTTTGTGATACTTTATTCTAACACTTTCTTGAGTAAAGGAACCTCTTTGATTAACTTCTCACCCGGGACCTATATGTTTGACCTACAACCCCTCCGACGAGTGAGCTTGTCCTTTCATACCGATTAGGTCCCTAATGCCCTTGGGGTGTGACTGGTACCTCTATGTATCAAGATAAGGGCACTCACCGGTGTCTGCAGCTTTCGAAGCGGTGTTCTTGTCATTCAGCCCCTTGGAGGAGGCTCCTCAGTGGAAAATAATCTCCCAGAAACAAATGGTCTTTTGTTCCCCAAATAGGAGCATTTTTATTTATATATAAGCAAAAAGGTTTACAACAATTGATATAGAAAACAATATCAGAGCTAACTATATCAGGTCGAGCTTCAAGTACTAAAACGTATTGGTATATATACGTTTCTAACAGAAGCAATGTGCGTCACAGGGGTTTCGGTTACGTCAATCGCAGTTTTGGTTGCGTCAATCGTGGTTTTGGTGCAGAAACGAGATTTAGGTCGGTGTGTCCTGAGCTGACTGGTTTGTGCGTTATTTGCGGTACTAAGTGCTTATACAGGAAAACAGCTTTCCATGTTAAATGGAATCGTTTTTGGTGCAGGATTACAGGTCATTTAGCTGCCGCTTTTATCCAAAGCAACTTACATTACACTTTAAACCCGTGGCTTTTTTACATTTGGCCCAGGGAGCAATTAGGGGTTAGGTGTCTTGCTCAGGGACACTTCGACTTGGGGCAGCTGGGACTTGAACCTCCAACCTTGCGCTTCCCAGCACACCCGCTCTACCCATTGCGCCACGACGTTTTACACGCTATCAGCTTTTTATCAGGTTTATCTAAAATGAGCTCACCGAATCTGCCCTCTGGACTGAAGGTGGAAGTTCCACAAAATCGGAGCTGGATAACCGAAGGCTACTGCTCCCATCCTACTTTTTATGATTCCAGGAACAACAAGTAACCAGCATCTATGGAGCGCAGCTGCCTTGTAGGGCAATACGGTGTTACAAGCTCTTTAAGTACAGTTGTTTAGCATCTCTAACCTCCTTGCTAAACTTGTATTTTGACTTATTTGTGTACAAGTCTTTGAGGTGTCAAGTAACAAAGTACAAATACTTCGTTACCATTCCAAAAAGAAAATTACATTACTTAAGTAGAAATTGTGGGTATTGTGGCAACCCATGGGCGCAGCACTCTGGACATGGCCTCAAGAGAGCAGCACAAAGGGCAGGGGCACCAACGAGCAAGAGGTCAAGGGGAAACACCCCGCCCCCTCAGGAGACAACGGGCGGCCCAGGTGCAGCTCATAAGGCTGATGAAGGTTGGCCACACAATAAAAGACCAACTATTCCAACAGCCCGAGAGACAAGACGAAGGAGACTGAAGGCTGAACGAACCCACTGAACCGCACCCTCAAAAGAGGAAGAACCTAATTTTCCAATAAATCGTACCCTTTTCTTGTGCAACTAGACGTGTATCTGAGTCCGGTGATTCCACCCACACCCGTTGGTTGCCACAGTATCTTCCTGGAGTATTTTTGTTTTACTTTTAGTCCTACATTTTCATGCAAATATCTTTACTTTCTACTCCTTACATTTTAAAACAGCCTCGTTACTCGTATTTCATTTTGGCTTGTTTTCATTGTGGCTTGTCATCGTTCAAAAACACACAAAAAAACATCCAGATAATTGGCGTCATGCGGATAGAGTGAATTTGATTGTGGTTGGATGAGAAGTATAAACATATACCATCCAGACACCCTATTGGTTTTCTCCGCGATGGACCTGCAGGTGACACAAATCAGAGTGACGGCGGGTGAAAAGTGGTCGGTAGTAGGATCCTTGCAGGCGTAGCTCTCGGAGTTCCGCTATGAAGGTCACGGGGTAACAGCCAAAACAAAGATAGGACTCAACAGCAGGATTCAGTGGATGAAAAAAGGATTTTATTTCAGCAGAAGTGGGATTTTGATAAGCAGCGCTGAATCCGTGGCCAGGGGACCGCTGGAGAAAACAAGTAAGCACAAGGGTTCGGGCGGCAGGAGCAATGTGATCTGGTAGAAACAACACTGGAGGGAGAGGTAGCAACTGACTGGCTGGACTGAGTTTTCCAGAGTTGCGGCGGGTGAGATGAGAAGGGAAGCAAGGGAATCCGTCAGACTCGGGAGGAATAAGGCTGGAACAAGGAGACAAGGTAAGTGCACAAAACTCTTTCTTTGTTAATCAAAAACTCTGGTGAGAGCTGGCCAAGTTACCACAAGGAGGGCAAAACGATCTGGCGAAGACTGGCGCTCCTGCTGCTCCTTAAGAAGGGTTCCTGATGATGGTAGATGCAGTAGATGTAGAGCAGGTGTGACAGCAGGCAGCCACCAGACTCCCCCCAGGTAACCGGGGGAAGCCTGCTCACCCAGCCTGAAACTCAAAACACACCTCCAAGCCAAGTCAGATCATGGCAATAAACTAGGTTTGTCGTGGTTATAACCCACCCTGGTGCATGGCAGTACACAGCTGTCTTCACAGAAGCAAATGTGGGCTAGGAGAGGGAGGGGTGGGGGACTGGGGCAGGTTGGTGGAGCTGTGGGGGATGGGATCAGGACATTGTCCATCAAATCTGCAGTAGAACTCATTCAGCTCGTCTGCCGGGCGGAGGTCATTCATGGAGTGTTGGCCCTCATCACCTGGTGTATTTAGTCTGTGGGTTCCTGTCCTCTGTTGCCAGTTTGTCTTTGATACTCCATGTTCCTAGCGTTCCAGCATTTACTCCTGATAGCCTTCCTGTCACCGACCCCTGCCTGGTTAACGAGTTACGTCTCTGCCTTTTCCCTGCCGGATACCTTGCCTAGTGATCGACTGCCTGCCCGTGTACCGACCTTGCACCGGAACGTTTACGAACTCTGCACCTGCCTGCCTCCTGTCGGGTTATTACACCCGTGTTTGTACTGCCATCCGACAGTAAAGTTGGTTAACTGCACCTTCTTGTGTCTCCGAGTCGTGCAATTGGATCCACACACTTGTCTGCACCCCTCACAGAACCAGGGTTTGTCGTTGTTGTAACTCACCCTGGTGCATGATGGTACACAGCTGTCCTCACAGAAGCCGATGTAGGAAGTTACAGCCTCTGTGAACTCATCCAGACTGTCAGTAGCTAAAAACATCCCAGTCTGTGCAGTCAAAGCAGGACCGGAGATCCTCCAGCGCCTCACTGGTCCACTTCTTGAATTCCCTCACCACAGGTTTGCAGAGCTTTAGTTTCTGCCTGTATGCAGGAATCAGATGGACCATGACGTGGTCAGAGTGTCCCAGTGCAGCAGCCCTGCTTACTGTGGTGTAACAGTGATCCAGCGTGTTCTCTGGTCGGCATTTAATAAACTGTCTGTATTTAGGAAGTTCATGGGTGTGATTTCCATTGTTAAAGTCCCTGAGGACAATAACTAAGGAGTCCGGGTTGGTCCGCTCCACACGCCGTATCTGGTCGGCGAGTGTCCGCTGGGCCTTGTGCACGTTGTAAACACCGACCAGGATGAATGAAGCGAACTCGCGGGGGAATAAAACGTTTTACAGTTGATGAAGAAAGTTTCCAGATCAGGAGAACAGTGTTGTAGGCGTCTCACCGCGTGAGTAAAGGTGAGAGGACCTTTGACTAGAATGTCCAGTAACTCCACAGAAGAAAGAAGAAAAGTTGGAAGTAACTCCGCAGGAGTTTTTCCCCCGATGTTCATGAGCTCATCTCTGGAGAAAGAGAAGTAGGTGGGACTGATAGGCCTTTTCTCTACATGAAGAGGTATAAACAGCAGATATCAGAGCAGACTGACATATTTACTCCCCTAAATATCATCTTACAAATATTTATCTGTCTGTTGTATAAATGTTTTTAGGAACTCCAATTTAAATGTATTTATTCCTCCATTGAGGTAAACTTGTTATTATTGTTGCTCTTGTCTTTGTTTGATTATTTTTAATTTGAGAAATATGTCTTCTATTTCCTACTGGTTTGAAAAATGAGAAGCGGACGTTGTTACAATTGTTTGTTATCTTAGTAGAACGATGGCAAATTCAACTTTAAATTATTTCATTCTTGGAACTTACATCCAGGTAGGGACTTTGAGATATTTGTATTTCATGTTTACTTTAATGTTATACATTGTTATAGTTATCCTCAACATTTGTGTCATTGTGGTTATCTGCATGAACAGAAGCTTACATGAACCCATGTACCTTTTCCTCTGCAGCCTGTTTGTAAATGAGCTGTTTGGTAGTACAGGCTTGTTTCCATTCCTTCTGGTTCAGATCCTCTCGGACATTCACACGGTTTCTGCTCCGCTTTGCTTCCTGCAGATTTTCTGTTTGTACTCTTATGCAAATATAGAGTTTTCTAACTTGGCCGTCATGTCCTATGACAGATATCTTGCCATTTGTTGTCCTTTACAATATAACACATATATGACATTTAACAAGGTAGTTACCTTTATCGCAGTAATATGGTTTTATTCTTTTGTGAAGTTCTTAATTACTTTATCTTTGAACATTCGTTTGAATTTTTGTGGAAACATCATTAACAGTCTGATTTGCACTAACTACCTTGTTGTTAAGTTGGCGTGTTCTGACACTCAAGTGAATAACATATATGGACTTTTTGGTGTTGTTCTCTCTATTTTAGTCCCTCTGGTTCCAATCCTTTTCTCCTACATGAGGATCCTGAAGGTTTGTTTCTCTGGTTCTAAACAGACCAGACAGAAAGCCGTCAGTACCTGCTCACCTCACCTCGCTTCTCTGCTCAACTTCTCCTTTGGCTGCTGCTTTGAAATCATTCAGAGTAGGTTTGATATGAGCGGTGTACCCGGAGTGCTGCGTATCATCCTCTCACTGTATTTTCTCATCATACAGCCTCTTTTGAATCCCATCATGTTTGGATTGCAAATGTCAAAGATACGGAATAAATGTAAACATGTTCTATGTCATCAAAGGTTGACTTGTTGCAGAGATCTCACAGGTTGAAACTAGATCCATTATTATAGGCGTTAAAATGTTTTTTTTTTATTTTAGGAAAAGGTTTAGAAACGTTCTTGTCAAAATATATATCAATCACTGAAGAATATGAAATGTGGTACATTGAAATAAAAACCTAACCTTTTAATACAATATTTGAAATTCATGTATTTCCTTCACAAACAGGACAGGTACTGTAGGTAGTAGAAATTAGAATAACACTTTATAATAATTACACACTATGAAGCAGTAGTTAAGTAGGAGCTAACACTTTGTATACAACGTTTCATAACAATATTTTGTTCTTGACCAATAAACGTATCTACTATGTCAGGAATCAGGAAACATTTATTGCCATAATGTATCAGACATACAAGGAATTTGACTTGGCGGTTGATGCGTAACAGCCGACAGTACGACAATGGACAACAAGACAACATAGTGCAAGAGAATCAAATCAAATCAAAACAAATATATTATTATTATTATGTATTGTTATTGTGTTTTTATACTTTATAAATTATGGATTTCCCACTTGCAAATGAAGTATTTTATACATTACAAGAGTTGTACATACATAAGATACCTATTGAGATAGAAGGGTACATCCTTCATAAATTGATATAAATAATTTATATATTTACTTATGGTTAGTTGTTGGTTCAGTATTTAGTGTTAGCATAGGGCCCGAGGGAGTCCTAGGGCAAAAACCCATAACAGTAATCAAGCATATAAGAACGTTCCCGTGGAGTGGGTTTGGCCTACGAATGACTCCATCGTGGACCCTGAAAGGATGAGCACGAGAGGGACGGCTGGGTTTCTGTTTGTCTCTTAAGGTAGACAAATGCCAAGTTGTCTAATCAGTGTCATGCTTGAATGGGTGAAGAAGCCTCCACCTGCCACTACTGACTATGCAGTAAAACCACAACCAAAGGAAATGGCTTGACTTTCATCCACACGGTGAAGAGAATGAGTGGCAGTTTTACAAATACACTGATAATGTCAACCTGGTTCATGTACAGTTTCTACCAATGTAACATTATCTCAACACTCTGCTGATTGAAAAAAGCTAAATGGCCCCTGTATCTCAAAATGCAGTTATTTTTTGCATAATTTTAGCGAGAATTAGAAACTTAACACACAATGATTCAAACTGTAAAATATTTAATTTTTACCACCCACATTCCATGGACCACATGTACTGTTGACAATGCATCTCATGTTATTGAAAGCTGATGAAATAAACTACACGTCTTTCAACAGTATCCAACATTTTACATTTAAGTTCAGTCCGTACCTGTCACACCTGTATGTCAAGTTGTGTTTTTGTCCTGTCTCCACGTTTGTTTTGTGACTTCCGTTATAGATTCCTCAGTTGGCCTTATGCCGTTTATTGCTCCACGGCCATTTTCTTTTGTGATTATTTTCTTATTTCCTCGGAAAGAGAGATTTTGGTTTTGCATTTTTTACTATTCAGCGCTTCGAGTTAATACAGAGCATTTTTAGTTCTAATTTGTAATTTTCTCCTTTCCCGTCATTTTGTATTGCCCAGCTTTATTAGTTTAGGCAGAGCATTTCCACGTTCATCCCTCTTCAGAGGAGTATTTTGTTTCCAGGGATTTCCCTGTGTCTTTTTGTTGGGAAATAAAAGTTTAAAAGTGAACCTCAACTCTGCGTCCGAGTCCTCCTCAAGAGCTCCCTTACTGTCGTACCACCCGTTCAATCCCGAGTTACCCCCAAAGGGTCCAAACTGGAGCAAAATCCAACTTCCAACAGGAATAATGTGTACAAATGTATGAATGCTTAACATCCTTCAAAGCATTTGAGTCTTGGCTAGAACACAACATAAGTTATACAAAGTTAGAAAAAAGCCTCGGATCACGTTAGAGGGGTTAGGGAGTCGAATCTCAAAGCAAGACGGCCCTCTTGAGCATTCTCAATGATCAAGCTGTTAGTCATTTTATTTCAGGCAAATCCATTTTTTTTGTGTTGTACTGATTTATTGCTTTACCAGTAACATATGAACCAATTGATGAACATTCCTCTTCATCCCCGCAGAAAAAAAGTAGTAGATACAGAGTTAATACACTTGGAGCAGAGGCCAAACAAACCAGGAAAGGACAGGTTAAAGCAGGGGTCTCAAACTCATTTCAGGTGTGGGCCAGACGCAGCCCACTTTGACCGACCGTGTGCCAGACCAGGGGGGTAGGGGGGGCGGCGCTGGCGGTCTGACCGGTGAACGGTATGGTCGACGCCATAGTCGGTACACTCCGGCGGCAGCGGCAGGCCGCAAGTATCTTTTCTTTAGACCAAGCTAGTCTCCTAAATTTGTTGTTAATGGTACTGTTTTAAGTTCATTTGATTGCTAGTTTGCTCGAGCTCTTTCCGTTTTTCAATGCCAGTTCTTGCTGTAGACTCTGCTATTAAGTTGACTGCTAGCGTGCCCTCCTAACTTTGCTAGGTTTGACCCGATCTAACTCTGTTTTGCCTTCTCTTCTGAAGCAGAAGAGACTTGAATCATTAAACTCTCAGTTTGTCAAAACGGCACATGGTGATTGTTCACTGGTGTCAAGCGATTGTTGTTTTGAGGAGTTTCTGCTGAGGCCAATTGACCTGTTGTCTCCTAAATAAAAGGGGAGTGGTCAGCGCAGACGTGGCCGACGAATGAAATTGCACTTTCTTGTTTGTTGCTCTTCTGAGTTTGTGTCCTTATGGTTGAATGCACTTATTGTAAGTCGCTTTGGATAAAAGCGTCAGATACATGACATGTGATGTGATATCAAATCTGCCCTGTGCTATTTCAAAGAAACACCCATAGGAGAAGTTGAGCAGAGAAGCCAGGTGAGGTGTACAGGTGCTAACAGCTTTCTGTCTGGTCTGTTTGGACCCAGATAAACAAACTCTGAGGATCCTCATGTAGGTGTAAAAAATCGGAATTGCAAGACTAAATAATACAATGAAAGTGTACATGAGTCCATATATGTAGATGATTGTCGTGTCAGAGCAGGCCAATTTCACAACAGAATAGTTGTCACAGAACAATCTGTCAATAATGTTCCCACACAACCGTAAAGACGCACTCAAAGATATCATGATTACAATATTTAAAAGAGGGAATAACCACGTTAGAACAAGAAGCACAATAACCTTGTTAAATGCCATGTAAGTGTTGTATTGTAAAGGATAACAGATGGCAAGATATCTGTCATAAGACATGACGGCTAAGTTATAAAACTGTACATTTGCATAAGTGTACAAACAGAAAATCTGCAGGTAACAAGATGAAAAAGAAACAGTGTGAATATCCGACAGGATCTGAACCAGAAGGAATGGAAACAAGCCTGTACTACCAAACAGCTCATTTACAAACAGGCTGCAGAGGAAAAGGTACATGGGTTCATGTAAGCTTCTGTTCATGCAGATAACGACAATGAGCAGCAGATTGGAAAAAACTATTAACACATATAAAGACAGGATGAACATGAACCACAAGTATTTCAACAGCCCAGTGTCCACGTAGGCAGAAAGTATAAAATAAGAAACCTTTGAGCAGCAGATTGATGGAAAACATAATAATAATGTGGAGAGTTGGTTCGGTCCAACTTGGGCCTGGGGTGCGGCGTGAACTACATGCTTCTAGGGAGGGGCTCTCGGGGTCGAGCAGGGCTGCCATTGACCCAGCAAGAGTGGTTAAGATCTACTTGCTACTTGCTTTTACTTTTATTATTTACAAATCAACACAGCTTACCCACAGTTTTGACAACACAAACACTCCCCATCCAGGACATTCGTCCGCCATATTTGAAACCTAGTTGGTTTAGTACGATGTTTGTCTGCCATATTGATAACTCTTCATTTGCTATATATTGCACCACACACTGGTATTTTAGATAATAGGCTTGTTTTCTGATGATAGTTGTTTCCAATAGATTTTAAAAAATGAACTAATTAACTGCACATTTCGAATTTCATTAATCGCGATTAATCACAATTATAAGTTTGTTTTTCTTCTTAAGACTAAGTCTTACAAGTAATGAGTAATCACTCATGTATTTTAGACACTGTTGTTTAATTGTTAATGATATTTTAAACACAAAACTACACACATCGTCTTGGAGGCAGAATTCCACCGGGTGGAACATGTTGAACTAGCAGCTCTTCCTGTTGTCCTCGTGCACTTTGCTCTCAACTCTCCATCATTTGAAGTGCCAGCAATGTCCCCACATTTAGTCAGGACGTTTTCCCCACCACTGCGTAAAGTGGTCCGTTTGCACTCGTTTCCCTTCTGTTTGACACGTGGCGGAACTCCTCTGCTCAGTTCTTCTGTTTGTTTTACTTCCAATGCAAAAAGTGTCTCCACCGTCAGCTACAGTCTCACTCTCTGCGTCAAACTGACTGCAGTACGTGGCGGTTTGGTTTCCAGGGTCAACTTTTTTGCATTAACTGTGTTAAAATATTTTTATCGCATTAATTAATTTTACTTCACATAACTTTATTCCAAGCAAAACATCCAAGTTAACTTTGACTCCTGAAGATGCTCAGTTTAAATGACTTAATTTTACAGCATTTCACTTGACTAGTCAACTGCACTATTAATACACCCTAACTCGAGGACATAGTGTCATGTAACCTTACTTTACTTTAGTTCCCTTCAGTTTACTGCATTGATATTCACTTTAACTGTAGGACCCTTCAATCCACTTCCCTCCTTTATATTTGATTAATCTGTACTTCACTTGAACCTACTTTCACTTTAGTTTAATTTAACTTTACTTACATTACTTAACTAACAGGAATCCCAAAAAAGTCTACTTCACTTTGCTTCAACTTTGCTGTCCTTTACAGTTTAGTCTGTCAGTTAAACTCTGACCCACAAAGATGCTCACTTGACCTTACTACATTTAACTAGACACATAACACTTTCATTTCTATCATAACATATCTTTATTATTGTTACCATTATAATTTGGAGTGAATTGTTAGTGGAGACTCATGGTTAACCATGGTTACAACCCTTTCATCAGTGATTAGTTGTTTTGCCAAATGACAGATGTGAATGTATTAATTACTTTAAGCAGGTAACAGTCACAGTTGGTGAATGCATACAAGCTGTGTCTGAACTTCGACAGTCATATTGTCCATTTTCATTTGATTCTTTTCATGTTACAGAATTTCAGGAATATGGAGATTACAATTTATCAAAAAAACAGACTTTTACACACAATGCGAATTTTGGTCAAATTCAGTCCATACAACACAGGATTGAAGAGCGGTGGACATGTAAGCCAGTATAACGATGAAAAGATGCGCACCACATTATTTACATTCTTTGTATCAAATCTGCTCTGTATTATTTCAAAGAAACAACCTAAGGAGAAGTTGAGCAGAGAAGCCAGGTGAGGCGAGCAGGTACTGACGGCTTTCTGTCTGGTCTGTTTAGAGCCAGAGAAACAAACTATAAGAATCCTACTGTAGGAGTAAATCATTAAAAGAACGATTCCAATAAATGCTGCTGTGTAAGTCAGTCCATAGACGTTGTTGACTGTTGTGTCATAACAGGCCAGTTTGACAATATGATAGTTGTCACAGTACACTTTGTTAATAATGTTCCCACACAGCTGTAAGGGGACTGATAATGACATCAAAATAGTGATTGCAAAGAAAGGGTACAACCACGTTAGAGCAATGAGTATTGCTGTCTTTTTGTGCGTCATGTGTGTATGGTAGTGTAGAGGATAACAGATAGCAATAAATCTGTCATAAGCCATAACGGCCAAGTTAGTAAATTCCACACTGCCGTAAGCGTACACTAAAAAAATCTGCAGGAAGCAAAGCGGAGCAGAAACAGTGTGAATGTCCGACAGGATCTGAACCAGAAGGAATGGAAACAAGCCTGTACTACCAAACAGCTCATTTACAAACAGGCTGCAGAGGAAAACGTACATGGGTTCATGTAAGCTTCTGTTCATGCAGATAACCACAATAAGCAGCACATTGGAACAAACTATAACAACATAAATACACATTATAATCATGAAGAATGCATATTTAAAAAGTCCAGTTTCAATGTAGGGTGACAGTAGGAAATATGAATACTTTGTTGAATTTATAATGATCATCCTTCTGTGTTTACACCTTGCACTAGATATACATGTGAAGTGTGAGACGCAACAATATCAGAAAATGAGCTGTGAGTGAAGGTAGCAGTAGCTGCAGGTCCGGTAAACACAGTGTGACTGTTACTTTAAAGTGTCATTATTCATTCAAACAGCTTTTAGTTCAATCAAGCACCAAATACATGATGTTAAATTCTTAAATGCCCTAAGAAACCTATTTTAAACCATCTGCTGCATCAACACAAAAAATAAAACTCAGACATGTCTTTGTATCATTGACAATCAGAACTTCAGACCACTGCTCGTAACATTTTGTGAGTTTACCTGCTGCTCTGCTATCGTCATTGATTCCCTCCCAACTGAGCTGAATGACCGCTTCAGTGTCTTTTTCAACTCTTCAAGATAGGAGACGCCCACAGCACCAGACGGACCTCATTATCGAATAATACTCTGAATATTACTTATTCTTGATCATCAAGAAGACATTTCAAAGAGAAATGACACAATATCTGAACAAATTAAACCTAAATGAAATTTCTATGAATATATATATATAATATATACACATATCATTTAGAAAATGTAGGCCCTAAAGGTGGCTATTTAAATATACAGTATATTTACATGTATGTGTCATATGTGTACAAACTCTGTACGTGTTGTGTAATTTTTTTATTTTATTCAAAATCCAGATTTGTTTAAGGCAAGAGGTAAAGATTGAAGTGTAATAGTCGTGAGGGGGGCACCTATTGTCACGGTTTGGGTTTATTTCCTGTCTTATTTTGTAGTTTCATGCCTCTTGTGTCCCAGGGTTCACTTCCTGCCTTGTCCTGTCATCCCCTGTGATTGTCTGCCGTGTCCATGATTGTTTCCACCTGTGTCCAATCACCTGCACCTTCCAGTGTATTTAAGCCATGCGCGTCTCTTGTCCCTTGTTGTGTCATCAACTGTATGCCTTCATGGTTGTACCAAGTATCTTGAATGTAGGTCCGATAACGAATCTCGTTCCCGGGTGTTGTGAGTTCCTGGTCCCCGTCTTGTCTACGTCTTGCCCCCAGGCATTTTGATTTTTTAATTATTAAGAGTACCTTTTTGTTAAACTCTGCATTTGAGTCCCGCTTCCTTCGAGCCCGTCATGTGACACCTATTGGGGATTGTTTTAGTCTCCTAGTTATACTGGGGTACTCAAAAATGTTTATGTGGCCTGCTATAGGAACACAATAGGACAATAAATTGTGCGTTGCCTGAAAACATCCGAGGTCTCCTTGCTGGATCTTCCACCATGTCGTTCATTCACATCGCTCATGATGTCCACCGGACTTGTCTCCTTTGACTAAAAGGTGCCCTGAATCGAATGCAAAAGCTAGCATTGCCCCAAACCCATTGTTGTGGCATTTCTGGCTTTTTCTAATGCAAAAACTGTTATTCTGAGTGCGCACTTCTATGGAATGCTCAGGTCAATGTAAACAGGTGAACAATACTCTGAAGACATCAGGACCACAGAGAGCCTTCACATCTTCAGACTAAAGACCTCGTGCAGACTCTACCTCCACTAACACACTAACTAACTGTTAGTAACTAACTAACATTGGACTTATAATGACTCTTATTATTAGCAAGTTGTAAATTGGCTTATTTGAGGAAATTGCACTTTCTTGTTTCTTGCTCTTCTGAGTTTGTACCCTAATGGTTGAAATGCACTTACTGTAAGTCTCTTTGGATAAACACGTGGCGTACAGACACAGCCTGCTCGCATGGTGGCTCTCATGGCACCGGTTCAGACCGACACGGAGCCAGAGGGGATTTTCCAGTCTGTCGGGTCGTAAGAGGACAGAGAGTCTAGAGGAGGAAAGAGTTGAGAGGCGAGTCTCTGCGGCAGCGTTCGGATGCAAGAGTAAGAAGGAGTCAGTGGAAGGGAGAGCTGATAGAACAGAGGAGGCCAGGGAGGACGGAGAGAGGGAGCGAATGACGAACAGGTACAAAGTCAGTTAGTTATAGAGAGTAAGAGATGAAGAATGGGTCAGTCAGGCAAGTCCCCGGTGCACCGTCTCTACCACTGTGCCACGATAGCTCTTGTGTGCTCTTGTTGTATCCAAGGAGGTAGAAGAAGTTTTCCTTCTTGGTGAGCTGCTTGGGCCAGAAATGAGGCTTCTCTGGAGCAGCTAGAAAATGGTTGGAGAGGCCTGAATCCTTAGTCCTGAGGCCAGTCTGGAAAGTTGATTATAAGAGGCTGTCTTCAATCTCTCATCGAGGCAAGTCGATTGGTAAAGATGTGGATTTCAGAGGCTGTCTTTAACCTACACTGACCAGAGTCAGAAAGTTTGCAGAGAGGGAACTCACAGTAGATACCAGGGGGACCCCTGTGGTCTATGTGGCTTGGCCAATCAGATCTCAGGGCTGTTTCACCCACAGAGATCACACTTTTCGGGGGGTTTATGTCCTTCAGCAGAACAGTGCATTTGGTCTTGTCAGCCTTGGTCTTACGCTATGGTGGAGCCAAACAAAGTATTATATTTATAAAGAGAAGCTATCAATCAAGAATCAATCTTGTATTATATTAATTAGAAACTTGTATTGAAACTAGAATAAAAAAAGCAATTTTCAGTTGATGTTCAGTCCTTAGTGCTTAATTGTCTCTGATTTTCTGAATAAATTGGGATGAATTGTTTTAAATTAATTCAAAATGCCAAACTTGACACAAGAGGATTTCTGTTTTCAAGCCAAACATTTCACACAATGTACACAAAGTGGTCCCATTGGGATTATATTTGGACCCCAGAAAAAACAAATTCCCCCACAGTGCGTTTTCCTTACATGTTTTAGCTGTTCCCCCTATTATACAAACTCAAACGATTGATCACCGTTTGCATTGCAGTTTCTTGTTTTCAAATGACACATTTACACCAACTTATGATGGTTGAATAAATGTCATGAAATGCTGTAAAACGTTGAGGAATAATGCCCGTTGGGTTATGGGTTAACACAACTTCTATTTTGTTTTTGTTTATTGGACTATTTGTGCAAAGAATTTAACAACAAAGGCAGTTCAAAATGCTTTGCATAACAGGATTAAAACAAGCATATATCCATCTTCAAATACACTTATCCTTTGTACAGAGGGGGGGTCTGGAATCAACCCCAGCTAACATCGGGCAAAAGACTGGATTGGACACCAGCCAATCACAGGGCTGACAGAGACAAATAACCACTCACACCTACGGGCAATTTAACGATACCAATGAAAAAGTAAAAGTGTAAATGCAATCCGATTTTGATTTTGTGACTTGTGTGAAAAGCTTTTCAAATAAATATAATTCATCTCTGAAAACACTCAACGAATGACAAATTTTACATTTTCAAAGATTTAAAAATGGATATTCACCACCCATGGACACCATAAACTGATTAAAAGGTACTTTCATGTTATTGAAACTGAAGTTATAAACTACATGTCTTTCAACAATACGTTATATTTGACCAGAAACAAGACTTTTACATATGATGCGTATTTTTGTCAAATTCAGTCCGTACATTACAGGGTTGAAGAGAGGTTGGCAAGTAAAAAAGTATAAAGACAAAAAGATGCGCAACAAAATGGGTGCTCTGTTCATATCAAATCTGCCCTGTGCTATTTCAAAGAAACACCCAAAGGAGAAGTTCAGCAGAGAAGCCAGGTGAGGTGTACAGGTGCTAACAGCTTTCTGTCTGGTCTGTTTGGACCCAGATAAACAAACTCTCAGGATCCTCATGTAGGTGTAAAAAATCAGAATTACAAGACCAAATAATACAATGAAAGTGTACATGAGTCCATAGATGTTGTTAACTGTCGTGTCAGAGCAGGCCAATTTCACAACAGAATAGTTGTCACAGAACAATCTGTCAATAATGTTCCCACACAACCGTAAAGACGCACTCAAAGATATCATGATTACAATACTTAGAAAAGGGAATAACCACGTTAGAACAAGAAGCACAATAACCTTGTTAAATGCCATGTAAGTGTTGTATTGTAAAGGATAACAGATGGCAAGATATCTGTCATAAGACATGACGGCTAAGTTATAAAACTGTACATTAGTATAAATGTACAAACAGAAAATCTGCAGGTAACAAGATGAAAAAGAAACAGTGTGAATGTCCGACAGGATCTGAACCAGAAGGAATGGAAACAAGCCTGTACTACCAAACAGCTCATTTACAAACAGGCTGCAGAGGAAAAGGTACATGGGTTCATGTAAGCTTCTGTTCATGCAGATAACCACAATGAGCAGCACATTGGTGCAAATAGTTACAACATAAAAACACATACTAATTATGAACAATAGGTATTTAAAGAGTCCAAGATCAAAGTAAGCACCAAATGTGAAATATGAAACCTGTGTGGAGTTTAACATCATCATTATCATCCTTTGTTTCACAACGTGACAATTCAAGTTTGCATAAGATAAACAACTAACAGTGTTTACATTTTACAGATTTAGTGAGATCAGACTAGTTTAGATCTGCTTTTAGGCTTTTTCCTCACTCAATCCATGAACACATTATTAAGCCTTTGAACAGCAAAGATGTCAACTTGCACAAACTCACATATGACAGATTCTCCAAATAAATCACTTGTTTATATTCATTAAGATGATTAGCTTATAAATGACAGAACAAGTGGTGACCATGTTTGAATGCTTATAATAACCTGCTATGTAGTCCTGACGGCTTTGGAATCGAGGCAAAGCTCTTTCTCTGCTTCTTTAAACTCTTCAGGTGAACTGATGTTGCATCATTACCACAAGACACTAACTGATGTCACCAACTATTAGCATATTACAAAACAGAGAGGGTCCGTTAAACCAATCTTAATTATTTCTATCACATTACATACAGCTGTAGTCATCAACCTATATATCCAATAGTCAACCAATGCAAATATTGATAATATGTTGATAACCGAGTAATTATCGTTCACCTATATGTGAAGGAATAGGTGTTCATGTGTGTTATTTCAACCT